ATAAATATGGATTTGAGTGTTTTTTTTTTAAATAAAACTTGTATATTTGTTATAAAAGTTTTAATATGCGTTATACACATTATTCTAGAGAACAGTTTAATAAGCCCCTCTCTTTCAGTGTATGTAGGAAAAAATTAAAGATTATTCTTTAATACAAATTATTATTCTACAAAAAATTGTATAAGGTAGTGGCAAATGTATTATATAGATAAGTTTAAAATAATATATTTATTGGTAAAAATACTAATACTTTCACTGAATGATAATGAAAATAATAATTATATAATTAAATATGAAACAATCTAGTTTGCACAAGATACATATTAATTTTTTCCACAAGATTTGATTAATTATTTGATGAAAAAATATATTAGACAAGTACAAAAAATGCAGGTAATATGAACTCTGAATATTTATTAACAATTTATTTAAATTATTTAAAACAGATTTCTCCAAAATTTCTCTCAATAAAGCAGCAAAATGTGCAAACATAATTTCTGTTTTTTCGCATTGAAGCTGTTCAATGATTTTTTTTAATTTCTTTCCGAAGTAGACACTATTATACAATAAACTAATTAACGAATTACATTTCAGGTAATTCGTTTATTTGTCGGGAGGAGAGATCAAGGCTAATACTGATGTTATATAATAAATAAACCACATATTTGCGCTTGATAAGGTTATTTAATTTTATAACATTTAACAATTAGATTGTCAAGAGTCTTTGTTCATGAAAATAGAAAAAGGGTGTATCGAACATGTCACTTGCAAGATAGAAGATGTTGTCCTTGTATGGGAAAAAAACCGTGTGCATTTTGCAACAGCGGTCGCCTTGAGTGGGAACCGTGGTACTACAGTATCGTAGTCGTAGATTAGAGAACGAGAAAATTCTGCAAATGCAGATTTAGAAAACTACCATAGGGACGGATTTATTCTAGAGCTGACACTTACGTTTCGTCCATACAAGGTGTTATTAACATCATGTCATAATTTTGAGGCTGTACCTTGGACGTACCTTGAAAAGAAATAATTATAGTGACTATTATAACCTCTATTAAATTTTTCTGTACATGTGACAGTGAAACAGTTTTTTTGTGGTTATAAAGTTTCCTAGATCCAATTTATAACTATTGTATAGCGTGATGTTATTGATATGACCATGCCTTTACACTAATTATAAGAAAATACAATATACAATATGGCTAATAACCTTTAACGAAAGTCGTATTATAATAATTTAAATTTTTGGTTTATACAGGGAGGCTCTAAATTGTCTCCTGATATTTTCAAGAAAGAGTTTAATACTTTAAGATTTTCTAAATATCTTATTATTTTTTATTCATATTTAAAACTTCCACTTATGGCATCTGGATACCAATCCACTTAGTATTATTATTCAAATCCCACATGTTGCATAAGGTGTACTTTTAGAACTTCTATAAAATATATTCATTAGTTGAGTTTATTAATACAAATTTATAATTATTTATACAAGATTTCAATTTTCCGAAATTATTGGAAATATGTGATAATTTAAAATATATACGAGATTTGTTCAGGAAATAACCGACCTTTATGTTTATAAACTTTATTAGTAGTTTTATACATTACTGCTCCTTGTCTCCTTCAATCGTCACTAGCACTTAACCAATTTGCACTCAAATAACAATATCAGAGTATTTCATTCGAAACATGAGCTATTATTAAATTTTTATAGTTTTATATAAATACATTATTATTACCAAAAATCGAAACTCATAAAATGCTTATTTAAAAAATATATATTAATTTTTTAATAATTGTACTCGTCAAAAATAAAGAAAATAATTATAAAATTTAATTTTTTCTTATAGTAGGTACAAAAATATCCTATATCAACGATTTTTAAAACTTCAACGTAATCAAAATTTTGGTGGAATTTTATTGTAATTTGAATATCTTCAAATAAAGTAGAATATTTTCTAATTATGCAACCTTGTAAGTTTATTGTAAAATAAAAAACAATAGCACCCTAAAATTGTTGCTTTTTGGAATTAAATAGAAAAATTATACCTATAGTACCTATCAATTCAATTAATTTTTACCTTAAGTTGGCAAAAAATACTTCAAGATAAATGTTTCACAATCAGAGCAAGATTTTTGGAAAATTTAGTACTCTGAATCACGTTCCTACTGAGAGTAAGTGGCTTGCCATTGGAAAAAGATAAGAAAAGGTTATTGTCTCTTATATAGGGTAAAAAATTTAAAAGATCATAGAAGCTGTTACAAATTTGCTTCTCACTACAGGGATCTCGAAAACGTTAAGAGATACAAACTAGCTTAAATGGGGGCAAAGGCTTAAATGAAACAAATACGGATTTCCAAATTTTCGGTTTTGTTTTTCAAATATTTCGAAAACTAATCATGTTAGCCTTGATTTTTTAGAGGCATAATGTTGGTCCCCTGATTACGCAACTTTGCCAGCTCTTATCGTTTCCGAGATCCCTGTAGTGAGAAGCGAATTTGTAACAGCCTGTATATTCTTATACAAGATGCTCCTAGATTACTTCCCGATATTTTTCTCTTTTTTTTTGTATAAACTTTTCACTAAAATTGATAATAATGGAGGTACGCCCCTTTAAAGGGAGATGGTAGATCATGTATCGCGATATCTTAAACATTTTAACTTATACTTCTCAAATTAAATTACACATTACATATTATTTAAATTCCATGTTTTACGTAAGGGGTATTTTGTAGGATCTCTGGCGCTGTTTCATCCCCAACTTTTTATTTTTAACACTTTTTGTTATATTTAAAAAATATTCATCTCCAGATAACTGGAAGAAAAATATTTTTCATTCAGATTTTCATAAAATTCACGATTCACACAATTTGTTTTTGATAAAGGAAATAAACGCAGTTAAAATTTTATCTAAACATTCTCGTTCAAATTTATTATTTTTTTAGAAACACTATTCAAGTACTATTTTATGGAAATTATTCGAAATGTGTGCATTTTTTATAAAAACGCAATTATTGTTGAGAAATTTGTTACTACGTTAAAATTACGCTGGATCTAAACTTGAATTTCTCGAGAATGGCTCGATTTCTTCAATTAAGCAATATTATTTTCGTTTTTTTCTCTAATAGTATAGATGTCAAAAAATGTTATATTTACCATGTCCTTTCTAAAGGAGTATATGTCTCATAGTATGCACTTTAAAAAGAAGTTTATATAAAAAGTGCCGTATTTTTTGATATACCATATATTCTGAAAATACAGGGTGTCCCGAAATTAATGCAACATAATTTAGTCATAGATTCTTAAGACAAATTTAGAAGACCCGTATTTTTTCTTTTTGCCAAACACAGCTCCCTGAAATCTGCCCCTAAAAATAATGTTTTTCATATCTCAGAACCCTGTTGTACGAGAATCACTAAAGGAACACAGTCATTTTATGAGATGGGGAATCTGATAGTGCTAGGCCTTTTAGCGAGGAACCCCCTTAACACACTTTTTCGTGGGCTCCCTTGTCTTTGTAACCAAAAAAATTTGGTCGCAAAATTGAATTTCTTGAAAATTATTAGTTAGCTAGAAAACCATTGAATTTAGAAACTTGTTTATCCCTTCATATTTTTTTCGTAAAACGCAATGTTTGCAATGCATCTTGACATTTTTCTCAAAAACATTGCGATTTACGAAAAAAGTATCATGGGACAAAAAAGTTTCTAAATTTAATGGTTTTCTGGCGGACTAATAATTTTTAAGAAATTTAAATATGCGACCAAATTTTTTTGGCTCCAAAGACAAGGGGGCTCACGAAAAATTGTCCTAAAGGGTTCCCCGCCAAAAACGTAGCACCATCAGATTCCACATGTCATAAAACCCATGTGTATAAAATTTAGTGATTCTCGTACAACAGGGTTCTGAGATATAAAAAAAAGATTATTCTTAGAGGCGGATTTCAGGGGGCTGTAACTCCGAAAGAGGGGGCCATTTGCCAAAAATAAAAAATGCGGGTTCCCTAATTTTGTCTTAAGAATTTATGACCAAATTTAGTTGCATTAATTTCGGGACACCCTGTATAAGGGGACTTAGAACCACCTTGAAAATTTTCTATAACTTTTCCGAGATTCGTAGGATTTATTATTATCAAAAAACTATGGGATTTTCAATGACAGTATTTCTAGTATCTCCGCCGCTAGCGGACATATTTGTATGCCAGTTCATGGAATATTTGCCTTTAAGTAGTTATGCCACTAGCCCAAGTTTTGTCAATCTGCATCTCGGAAACCACTAGCATTCATTCGATCTCTAGTTTATAAAGACCCAAATGACCCAAATTACGGGTACTTAAAAAACACATCCTGTACGTACACATATTGAAAGTTTGTTAAGGTGGCCATATCCCTGGCCGAGAAATGGTGAAATTTCTGGCATTTTTAGGTACTGAAATCTTAAAAAGTAAAACGTGTGGAACAAAAGTAAGCACAAAACTAAAATCCTTGATGTTTTGTTTATTCATTGTTACCATTTAAATTTACCCAAATAAAATAATAACTAAAAAAAGCGTTTGTAAAACATGCCTTTGCTGTTATTCTAACCCCACATTTTAAGAATTATTTTCACGTACTTATAAATAAATGTAAACAATTTTATATGTAGGACTAAGGAAGTAAATGTTATAAGAATATTTACATGTGGAATTATATATAAAAAAGTTAGTATTTTCGTAGATTTCAGTACCTAAAACCTTGATGGTTTGATCGTTTTTTGCACCTGTTTATTCGTTTTACTGCGGCGTCTTTGAAAATACTCAGGTGGCATGACATAACATTCCTATTATTTGATAAGCTTTAGATTATTCAGTTATTAAATGTTTGAAATTATTTGTCTTTGCGGAAAACACTATTTAAAGATTATGGGGCCGTTAATTCATATCCATAAGATGTTTATAAAATAACACATAAGAAACCACGCATAAGAGTATGTATTTAATAAATTTTTATTTTTGCAGATAATGTGTGGACCGAAGATGGCAACCGTAGGCCTGCCCTTGGGAAGGTGGGAGCGCGGTGCCGACCATGACATACTCGCGGGAGCCGACTTTCTGTCGATCCTCATCGAGTCATCCCTTCGGAGAGCTTACAGCGAAACCACTACTACATCGACATCCCTCCTAGATTTAGAAGACGATAGGATCCGAGATACCTCCATCAGTTACGTCCGTACACCTAGAGAAACGTCGCCATTTGCTCAAACCAGCACGGAGTTCTACGACACAACAGTAGTTAGTGATAGTGACACTAGTAGTAGCGTAAAAGACGTTGTAGTAGTAGCAGTTCGCGTTTCGTCCTCAGTCGGTAGAACAGTAAACAAAGACTTAAGTAAACCTAATCGAGAAATAATAAAATATACAAGTACTTTAAGTGAAACCCTTACGGAACCACCAACGACTGAACAGTTTGATCAAAATTTCGTTGCGTCAGAAGACCACCCTAGCATAGTCGCGAAAGCAAGTAAAAGTGAATTAAGTGTAGAAGAAAGCGAGCCGATTACGAGAGATAGTCACTTAGATTTCAGTCAAGGTTATCCGGCCAGGGTACGTCAGTTACCCGGACCAGCCTTCAACGCTGGTTCAAGTTTTTCAAACCCAGATGGAAACCAAAAACCTATTCATTCAACGCTAATCTTCCATGATAGTCCACAAGATTCCGGACGTAGTAGATCGGTCTCTTATAGCACCGTGATACAGCATCCTCGCCTTGAAACGGAAATGGAACAGAATCCCCAACAGCATGAAAGACACGAAAGAAACTACAATGGTGCCCAAAGCATCTTCGTTAACAACTATGACCTAAACAGCGACGAGAAAAGAAAATTAAACGACACTAAATTGCTTACTCTATCTGCATCAGGACAAAATGAAATGATAACTAGCACACCCTTCAGTAGCACTGCTAAGAATTGGGAAAAAAATGAAGAAAGTTACAGAGAACCAGCTACCACTGAGCGAAATTGGGAAATGCAGGAGAAGCCTTATTCTCCTCCCCCAGTAACTCCCCGCCAAATGCCAAAAGTCTACGGACAACCAGAGCAAAATTATGAGGTGGATGAATCTGTAAGTGTAGTTACCAATGGCAGAGCGCATGGCGTACAGCCCAGTTTACCACCAGATAAAATCGAGCAGAGAAATAACTCTAGCAAAAAAGACGACAATCAAAAAGTCGGCTACGTCGTGGAAGGTAGAAATTACCGGAAATACAGAGTGGAAGAACGCACTGCAGACGGATTTATTGTTGGAGAATATGGCGTTGTAAGTCATGACGATGGTTCTCTGCGAGGCGTTCGATACACTGCCGATGGAACAATTAATCCGCGATTAATCTATGATGCCTTGATGAAGTTTTTGTCTTTGTGATTTAAAATGGTGCTCACGCCATCGTACTGATTCGATTCTAGTTCCTTTGTTAATAATTAGGTTTTCTGTAACCACGGGGAAATTTTAGTTGTTTTAGTGCAATTCATGTTTGCCATGTTTACATTTGATGCAAATTTTCTCTGTGTTTCCAAAAAACCGCCCGTTAAGAGCTCAGTCTTATTTAATACGTTAGTTAAACTAGGCTAGAGTGAAGTGAACATATAAAGTCTAGATATTTAAATTAATCGTGCTAATTATTATTAATAAGAATTAAGAGACCATTAGCTTGATATTGACAATTGCTCATGTAAAAGCCATTATACATTTTTAAGTATATTGTGTAAGATACTTGCCTCCAAAAAATAACGGTTTTAAATATAATTAAGGCAAGTTATATTTCATTTGTGGCAATATAATTTACACTTGAACTTGTACAGTGGCATTTAGTATACAGACAGTTAATACTTTCGATTTTGTATCTAATTCTTATGTAATTATTAAAGTAATAAAATTTTATCGAAATCTAAATGTGCATTTACTTGTTTCTTATTTGAAATTAGTTGTATACCAAGATACCTGAAAATAAAAAAATGAAAAGTGATTAAAATAAAACATTCTAATCCTTAAAACTTTCTGCAGTATTTGGTAGCGAACCTTATTTTTCTTTTACTTTTGTAGAAAGCAGTAGATTAAATAATTTCTAAATTTTAAATCTCAAAAATGCTAAAATTGTTATTTATTCATATAATAAATAGGTCCCTTTTTGCTAGCGTCTGGTGAGTAAGAATTATTGTTTTTTAGCATTTTCAGAATGTGCTTTGTAAAATAAAATACTAGTATTGATTTTAAGTGGCATAGAAAACTGAACGTCCAGTAATCTTAATTCAATAATAATCTTTAGTATACATTCAAAACGGTATTAGTAAGACTAGAATTAATGAGACAGAAAATTTGTATACTATTCTAGCTAGGAATTTTCAAATTCAGTGTTTCAGCAAGATAGCGCCTAACCACATGTAATAAAAGTGTGCTATGACTACACAATGATCTCCAGATTTTTCCTATGTTGAAATATGTGGAATAGGAGTTTGAGTTTGTCTGCCGTACCGGGACTTTTGGAAGTCGACCCACATTTGATCTTGATGGTCATTGTCAGTCATGGTCAAAACCATATTTGGACGTAAAATTGCCTGCTCTTTCCAAATCTGCAATAAAAAATAGGGGTTTCCATTAAAAAAACTTAACTTGACCTTTAAATGACCTTGAAGCTCAACGTCAAGGTTAAATCCAAGGTCACCATCAGATAGCGTGAGAAAAATCATTACACTTTTGTCTGAAACATTTTTTTCCAAAATACTTTCTTCGAAAATTTTTCTGCCGTATCGGGACTTTTGGATAACCCTGTATATAAACGTGCTCTAACTGCTGACTCTTTTTCACTGTTAAATAATCCCTTATTTAATTTTAAAAAGACAGATTTTTCACAGTTATAATAAACCTAATAAAATTTATTGGACATATGATAAAACAAATCTCGCTTTTATGTTCCCTTAAAAATACCTACAATACCTACAAAAGAATCAGGATAAAGCCTGGAGCTGTTATTGAAAATCAAAACAACAAAGTGACTATATTCATTTTAAAAATGTCCCGTCTCAGGTTAAATCTGCCACCAATATTGCTTACACAAACTATATCTGAGAGAAACGTGATTTTAAAAAATTTTGGAACTGTAAATTCGAGAAAACCTTTGGATATCACGATAAAAATGCGATGGTTCAGTTCCAAATTGATAATCCACAAGGTGAGCAAATGCATTGGAAACACTACTTTTCAAACTCTTCTATTAGTCCAATCAGTTGGCGCTCAAAAAGGGGGTTGCCTGTGAAATTTTAGGGGAGCTTTGAAAATTGATTTATTTATAAATTTTGACGTGCTCTTTCCGAATTTTTACTTTGCCACCTCTTTTTTTTTCCGGAAGTAGCCGCCATATTGCAAAAATGGCGCTCCAAACCAGTTTTTCAACGATATTTCCTTTCCGACTCACTTTACGGTAAAAATAGTTATGTAATAAATTAAACCAGAGAACATTTCCTATAATTTATATATTAATCTTTTTTTCTCTTAAATGAATGGTTTCCGCGTACGATCGCCGCAAATTCTACTCCAACACGCCAACAAACTCATTTCCTCACCACCATGAGGTAGAGTTCCTGGCGCGTTTTTTTAGTGATATTCCCAGTAGGCCTAATCCACTGTTGACTAAATTTAGTGCATTCTCCTTCGGTTCGCTATCCCTAATGGACCAGGTTTTGCGAGTTCTTCAGCTCCAGCAAACTTGCTAAAACTAATTTCTTGCAAATGTAAAAACGGATATCGGGGAGCCTGTGGATGCAGAAAGGCTGGACTAAAGTGCTTCGTTATCTGCTCGAATTGCAATGGTAGGTACCTGCGATAATGTTGATCTGCAAAACAGTAATGCAGAGGAAGATACGGAGACAGTTCTTCAACAAATCGATGAAATCGAGGAAGAAGGTGATGAAATTGATGAAGAGAACCCTATCGCGGATAACTTAGAAGAACTTCCTGTCCGTGAGGTTTTGCTCAATTCTGAAGACGAATAACTCGCAAAATCTGGCCCATCAGGGATAGCGAAGCGAAGCAGAATGCACTAAATTTAGTCAACAGTGCATCACATGTGGATTAGGCCTACTGGGGGTATCACTAAAAAAAACGCGTCAGGAACTCTACCTCATGGTGGTGTGGAAATGAGTTTGTTGGCCAATACGCGTGTTGGAGTAGACTTTACGGCGCACGTACGCCGAAACTATTCATTTCACAGAAAAAAGGTTACTACATAAATTATAGGAAATGATCTCCAGTTAGATTTATTACATAACTATTTTCACCGTAAAGTAAGTCGGAAAGGAAATATAGTCGAAAAACTGTTTTTGAGCGCAATTTTTCCAATATGGGAAATATCCGAATATCCGAAAAAAAAGGGGTGGCAAAGTAAAAAATTCGGAAAGAGCACGTCAATATCTATAAATATACCAATTTTCAAAACTCCCCTAAAACTTCACAGGCAAAACTTCCAACTGATTGGACTATATTGAATCTATTAATTTCGATCCTGAAGCACAATATCATGTCTCTGAGATTATAGATATAGAATATTATAAAATGTATAAAGTGACTGAAAGAAAATATGGCTAAAAAAAAAAAACACGAGTAGCTCTGCATATACAGGGTGTCTCATAATTAGCTGCCAACCCTGAACAGGCCGATTCTATAATCAAAACTAAGTAAAAAAGTTCATATGAACATGGGTCCGGAAATGCTTCCTAAGGGCACAGGGACCCATTGAAGAGGGAGGAATGGAAATCATTTTTTTGCAATATCTCTCAATCGCGTTGTGATAAATGAATGAAATTTGGTATACACAGCTAAATTTTGATGAGCAATTTGATGGACTAATCCATTTATTTCCACAAGGTCCATTGGGGTGGGTACGGGGGGGCCCTTGGTACTTTGCGTGTGTAACTTTTTCATCTTTGACTTTTTAACAAATTGGACAGCAAATTCCGTTTTCCCGAACTGTTTTACGTTAAAAAGGTACTCTTGTTTCAAATCGTTATCTTTAACGGTTTCTGAGAAAATCGCTCTTGAATTAATCCCACTTTGGTCAATTTCATAGTAATTTAAAAAAAAAAATTTTTTTGTTTAAATTTAATCTAATTTTAATAAAAAAATAATAATAAAAAATTAAATTAAATAAAAATTAATCCTTTAAATGGAAAAGAGAGGAAAGGAAAATTATTATTATTATTTTTTGTTTAAATTACTATGAAATTGACCAAAGTGGGATTAATTCAAGAGCGATTTTCTCAGAAACCGTTAAAGATAACGATTTGAAACAAGAGTACCTTTTTAACGTAAAACAGTTCGGGAAAACGGAATTTGCTGTCCAATTTGTTAAAAAGTCAAAGATGAAAAAGTTACACACGCAAAGTACCAAGGGCCCCCCCGTACCCACCCCAATGGACCTTGTGGAAATAAATGGATTAGTCCATCAAATTGCTCATCAAAATTTAGCTGTGTATACCAAATTTCATTCATTTATCACAACGCGATTGAGAGATATTGCAAAAAAATGATTTCCATTCCTCCCTCTTCAATGGGTCCCTGTGCCCTTAGGAAGCATGTTTACATGAACTTTTTTACTTAGTTTTGATCATAGAATCGGCCTGTTCAGGGTTGGCAGCTAATTATGAGACACCCTGTATATCAAGGACCTACAAAAAATTCTGTTAAATGACATTCAATTTAATTCCGTTGCCTTTGGGGATGACCGTAAAATGTCAATTATACGTTTAATTTGGCGATCAGTATACTTCTTTATTTAAAAATGATGACGGGACAGATATATTGAAATTATTAAATTTAGGGGTAAAAATTTAGATCTTAATATCTACGTCAAGTGCCGCTCATATGACGCTCCCCAGAAATTGCTTTAAAATACTAATCGCATTGTTGATTATCAGACAAAAGTAATCCCTCTTTGTTAATATTGAGGTTATGACAGAAAATTTTAAATGAAGTTGTGACCCCCTCTATCTCTCTTAACATTTCAATTAAGATAATTTTGCCTAAATCATAATTTTTGGTATCGTAAAGTCACGATTCCTGTGTGTTCTATTGATTTTGGGATACCCTGTATGTATACGTACTTATTATAGATAGGTACATACAACAAATCATTAAAAAACTAATTTCACGCCGCAGTATACGTCTCTAAACATTCTAAGACAGACCTACCACAAATCCAATTTAGTGCATCACAAACAACTATATTTAGATGTAACGGTACTGCTCGATGCCTTTCAAATTGTAAAGTGCATATCGGTAAATTAATATATTTACAAAACACGACAAGAAACTTCCTGTATACCTACCCAATAGATAAATGCAGCAACGTCATTATCAAATTGTTGTACCTCATGTGTTAAATTTCAAGGCTGATGTGATATGAACCGGTTAAATTAAGCTTCCCCCTTTGTATCTGTTGTTTGACATTATATCCTGTTAAATTGGTTTTTTATAACTAGACAGGAATGTTTCCACCTTTACCTTAACATTGCCAATGAACAATATATTTGAATTGTGTTTACAGTAGTGTAACAGGTGTAAGAAACTGTAAGTAAAGGTGCATTATCGCATGCACTGTTTATTTACACACAAGGTGTTCTAAAACAATGTGTAGACGTCCATTGTTACGGTTATTTTATGAAAAACTTTATGAACATGTGGTTTAAAATTATCATAAAGTTGAACTATGAAGATGGTTTAATATATCCGAAACGCTTGAAGATACGTGAAGTATTGTACAAAGCTTTTTATTTCCTTCAATGAAAATTAAAGTTAATGACCAGAAATCATCACGGGCGGGTTAAAATGGGGGGGCC